ACATGCTTTTCTTCTGCCAGACCGCCTTAGGACTCCACAAGAATAGAGACTTTGAGGGGCAAAACTTGCTAGAGGCAGATATGTAGACCTATAAGGGAAAGAGTCCTCTCTCCTACTATTGCCAGTCCCTTCCTGCTTCTGGGCTCAGTGGTTTTTTTCTGCTGTTTCTCTTTCTCTCATGCTATCACCTCAGAATCAAGAGCTTTGTAGATTCAAGTCCCTACTCCAGGACTTCGAAAGCCAACAAGCCCCAGTGCCAGGGTAGTGTTGAATTGTTTGGTGTTTGATTGCACAGCTCTGATCACTGATCTATGTCCACTGTACTTGATTGCTTGAGCTTTGATGCGAACTCAGAGCCAAGCAAATAGACACCGATTTCGAAACGCTCTTGTAAATAAACCTGCCGCATGCTCTGAAACTTGTGTCACCACTACCTTTCTCTGAGATTCACAGTAAGGACAGCAAACAGCAGAGTGGGATGTTAAGCTGAGAATGCCTGCTCAGGCCTGACTGACCTAAATAAATACAGTGTTAGCAAACCATTATTGTAGTTTGAAAAGGAACACGGGAAAGGCCGCATTAACACTGTCAAGGTGCCCATCAGCCACAACCAACAGCACCAGGAAAGGACAAATAGGCTGAACAGCCAACCCATTGTTATTTGTGGGAATTTGCCGTGCTTTATGATCCCAGTTTCCTATACATACTGGATTATTGGGAGCTTACCATACTACAAAACTACATTGCATATTACAACACAGACTAGATACCTACTGGACAAACCAGGTCCCAAATTGAAGGCTGGCTTGATAGGCTGTGCTTAATATCTGCAATCGGTTACTGTGGGGTTTAGTCACCAAAACACAGGGCTACTGCTGTTCTTTGATAACACAGCATAACCTTATGAGCCGAATGAAAATGAAAACAAGGTTATATGTCTGAGACAGTTAGAAATGTCTTAATGCAAACAGCAAAACAAAATCTAAATGTGTTTTCCAACAATGCAGTGTAGGAGTTAAGATATTATGTTGTGGCTGTACAGGACATTGGTTAGACCACTTTTGGGATACTGCATTCAATTTGGTCTCCCTGCTGTAGGAAAGATATTGTTAGACTTGAGAGGGTGCAGAAAAGATTTACAGTGATGTTGCTGGGATTGGAGGGTTTGAGCTATAGGAGGAGGCTGGATAGTCTGGGGATATTTTCGCTGGAGCATCGGAGGCTAAGGTGTGACCTTGTAGAAGTTTATAAAACCATAAGGGACATGAATAGGGCGAATAGCCAAAGTCCTCTCCCCAGGGGAGGGGAGACCAAAACTTAGACGGCGTAGGTTTGAGGTGAGAGGGGAAAGATTTAAAAAGAGACCTAGGGTACAACTTATTCATGCAGAGGGTGGTGCGTGCATGGAACAAGCTGCCAGAGGAAGCGGTGGAGGCTGGTACAATTACAACATTTAAAAGGCACCTGGATGAGTATACGAATAGGAAGAGGTTAGAGAGATACAGGTAAATGCTGGCCAACAGGACTAGATTAATTTAGGATATCTGGTTGGCACAGATGAGTTGAACTGAAGTGTCTGTTGCCATGCTGTACATCTCTTTAACTCTACAATTTTACTTTTACTGGTATCCAGCTCCAGAGCTATTTCTCTCCTCTTAATTCTCTATGTTATCAGTATCTGAAAAAATAGTCAATCTCTTTCTTGAAAATATTCAGTGACCTGGCCTCCACAACCTTCTGTGATCAAGAATTCCAGATGTTGACACCATCTGAGTGAAGAAATTATTCCTAATCTCAGTCCTAAATAGCCTACCCCAGACTAACAGGATCAGACATGGATAAATGCAGGAAGGGCCTGGGAACAATAGGGTCACAATCTAAGGATATGGGATAGGTCATTTAGGACTGAAATGAGGAGAAATGTCTTCACCCAGAGAGTGGGGAGTCTATGGAATTCTTTGCCACAGAAAACAGTTGAGGCCAAAACATTGAATGTTTTCAGGGGTGAATTAGATATAATTCTGGGGCTAAAGGGAACAAAGGGTATGGCGGAGAAAGCGAGAGTGGGGACTGAGTTGAATGATTACCCACGATCCCATTGAATGGGGTAGCAGGCTCGAGGGGCCTAATGACCTACACCTTCTATTTTTGCTCCACCTAACCCGAGCACAGTGCCCCCTTCAATTCCAACAGGGCACGGTGGCCCTCCCCTGACCTGGGAACATTGACCCCTTTCCCTGTCCTCAAGCCAGATCTGGGCACTGAGACAAATTCCTGCACCACTCCACATCCCCCTCCCAACCAGGGCATGGTTGGATTTGACTAACGTGTCAGTGGTTCAACAGAAGGTTCTCAGACTGTGAAGCCTACCTCAAGCCTCGTAGCCTGTCCCATGGGCAAGGTGCCAGCTGTCACTGGAGAGATAGCAGGTGACATGTTGTTCGTTTCCCCCTCTTTCCGTCTCTCTCTCTCTTCCTCTCCCTCTCTCTCGCCATTCCCTTTCAGCAACCGCCCTTGACTTCCCAGAAAGCCTTGATACCATTTTTGATGGTGGCCATCTTTATCGCGGTTGTGCCTCATCTGCTTCCCATCTGTTGATGTTAATTGAACGGGAACTTCAAGAAGAGGCTTCAAGAGATTGTCATAGAGTCATACAGCGTGGAAGCAGACCCTTCTGTCAAAACAATCCATGTGTAATGTAATCGAAAACTAAACTAGTTCCACCTACTTGCACTTGGCCAATTTCCTTCCAAGCCTTTCGTATTCGTGCACTTATGCAAATACCTTTTAAACCTTGTAACTTTGCCTGCATTCGCCTTTTCCTCTGGCAGTTCATTCCAGACACGAACCATTCTCTGTGCAAAAGATATTGCCCCTCATGTCCTGTTTATATTTTTCTCCTCTCACCTTAAAAATTTGCCCCCACGTTTTGAACCCCCCCATCTTAGGGAAAAGACCCTTGTCATTCACCTTATCTGTGCCCCTCATGATTTTATAAACCTCTATAAGTTCACCCCTCAACATCCAGCAAAAAAAGTCCCAGCCTTTCCAGTCTATTTTTATATCTCAAACCTTCCATTCCCAGCAACATCCTGGTAAATCTTTTCTAAACCCTGTTCAGCTTCATAATATCCTTCCTGTAACAGGGAGACCAGAACTACACACAGTACTCTAGAAGAGGCCTCGCCAACATCCCGTACAACCTCAACATGATGTCCCAACTCCGATACTCAAAGGTCTGATCAATGAATGGACTGTCTTCCACAGCTCTGCATGGAACACTCACTTGAACAGTCTGGAATGCCATGTTCCTCTCAGCCAAAGCGATTCGGCTGTGGCCTCTGTATATAGGAAAAAAAGTTGCGCAACTTCTTCCAAAGTGGGACAGTGTTCTCTGGAGAAATGGTGGATGGAGTGATTTTACGTATGGTACTGTGAGTGTGGCAAATGGGTTTCTTGACGATGACGAATTGGTTCGTCGTTAATGACTCCAGCCGGGAATTCAGCCCTCTTCATCCAGACAGCAGGCAGAACGTGAAACTCTCCCAAAGGCAGCTATCGAGATTGATCCCAGCGAATCATTGGACAGAGGCAAGGCAGAAAGGAGGCCATTCAGCCCGTTGGGCTTGTGCTGGCTCTCTGCCAGACCATAAGATATTGGAGCAGAATTAGGCCATTTGGTCGGTTCAGGCTGCTCCACCATTAGATCACAGCTGATATTTTTATCAGCCCCATTCTCCTGCTTTCTCCCCGTAACCCTTGATCCCCTTACCAATCAAGAATCTATCTACAGTTAGAGACAAAATAACTGAAGATGCTGGAATCCAAAGTAGACAAACAGGAGGCTGGAAGAACACAGCAGGCCAGTCTGCATCTGGAGGAAAGATAAAGTCAATGTTTCAGGTATTACCCTTCTTCAGGACTCATCTATCTATTTCTCTCTTAAATACACTCAATCACTTGACCTCCATAGCGTTCTGCGGAAATGGGTTCCACAGATTCAGCACTCTCTGGCTGAAGAAATCCGTCCTCATCCCAGTTCTCAAGGGTCATCCCTTTGCCCTGAGGCTGTGCCCTCATGTCCTAGTCTCATACTGGTCAAAACATCTTCTCCATATCCACTCTATCCAGGCCTCTCAGTATACTGTAAGTTTCAAACAGATTTCACTCCCCACCCCCTTATCCCTCTAAACTTCGTTGAGTACAGATCCAGATCCTCAATTGCTCCTCATATGAGCAACTCAGCTGATCCCACACCTCCCATCTCATCCCTGTGACCCTGCACATTCTTCCTTTTCAGATCATGGGTCCAACTCCTTCTCAAAAGGTCCGCATGGATGAGTTGGATGGAAGGGTCTGGTTCCGTGCTGTACATCTCTATGACTCTATAACATGACATCCCAACTCCTACACTCAATCTTTGGGAAACACATTAAAACTATTTTTTGCAGTTGGCATTAAGACATTACTAATTGTGTCAGATAAATAACCTTGTTTTTATTTTCTTTCTGTTAACAAAGTTATTCTCTGTTGTTGAAGAATACCAGCAGCCTTGTGTTTTGGTCACTAATCACCACGGTAACCATTTGAAAAAGCTAAGCACAATCTATCAAGCAGGTTTCATTTTATAATCTGATTTGCCCCAGTGGGTATCTAGTCTGTGTTGGAATATGCAATATGGTTTTGTAATGTAGTAAGCTGCCAATTATCCAGTACGTATAGGCAGCTGGGATGATAAAGCACAGCAAGATCCCACAATTAACAATGGGTTGGCTGTTCAGCCTATTTGTCTGGTTCTGAGGGTTGTGGTTGGCGAATGGATGGGGCTGATGGGCGTCTTAGAGTGTTTATCCGGCCTCTCCTGCGTTCCTTTTCAAGCAACAGTAATACTTTTCTAACATTGACCTAACATAATACTAATTCGGCCTGAGTGGCATTCTCAGCTTAACGTCCCACTCCGTTGTTCGCAGTTCTTCAGTGAAATGCTGGGGTGACACAAGTTTCAGAGCATGCAACAAGTTTATTTACAACAGCGTTTTGAAATTGTGTCTGTTTGCTTGGCTCTGAGCCCGCATCCAAGCTCAAGCAATCAAGTACAGTGGGCATAGATCAGTGATCAGACCCGCGCAATCAAACACAGGACCATTCCACACCACCCAGGCATTGGGACATGTTGGCTTTCAAAGCCTGGAATGGGGACTTGAATCTGCAACACTTTAGTTTCTGAGGCGATAGCTTTAGAGAAAGAGAGATAGTGGACAAACTACTGAGCCCAGAAGCAGGAAGGGACTGGCAACAGCAGGGGAGAGAGCTCTTTCCCTTACAGGTCTACATATCTGCCTCCAGCAAGTTTTGCCCCTCAAAGTCTCTATCCTTGTGGAGTCCTAAGGCAGTCTGGCAGAAGGAAAGCATGTCCTGCCACATGGACGGCTCAAAATACAAGAGGCAGTATATTGGGACCTCCAAGGTGCTGACTCCTTGCTGGAGCTGAGCGAGGAGCTGGTTTCTGGCCCTGGGGAATTGCTTCCCAAATATATCAATGTTCAGCCGGTGGTAGCCAGTCCCCAAGGGTACCCTGTAGGGGGCAGTGCCCACGCTGAGGACTGTGGGCTCTTCTTTGTCATCGGCCATCCAGATGAAGTCTTGACTCACTAGCTTCTTTAGGTTGCTCTCTAATGGCCTGTATGGAACCCAGTCTTGAATAATGGTCTTCCCAGGCAGCACCCCGTCCACCACCCTTGGGCTCAGGAACACCCGCTTGGCATCCGAGGCCCCGAGCAGGACGGGATCTTCCCATTCCTTCCCACTCTCCTTCAGCTGGGCGACTGCAGCTTCCAGCTTTGGACGGATATCTTCTGCCTTGAACTGCACAGAAAGAACTTCCTGGAAGAATGAAAGCATTGATGAATATTCTCAGTGTGTTGATACTGTGGCTTTAAGAGGTGTGTTTTGTTCTGATTTCTTTGAGACAGAGAGAGAGTTTGGGGCACAGGCGCCAAGCAGTTTATGAGAAGACAAACAACTTCCGAAGCCTTGGATGCATTTTCTAATAAACTGGAACAGTGGAAACAGGCTGAGTGGGTGTGCTCGATCTCTCACCCACAGAACTAGGGATTTTATGCTAAGCGCTCAGCAGTTGCTGTTGGGGGTTTGAGAAAGTGGAAGCTATTTTCATCTCTCTTGATTAATGTCAAAAGCTGGGCGCTCTCTTCCTAGACTGCTGGATTGAACGTGAGACAAAATCAGTTTTCTGAATTTGCCCTTTTTTGCCAAGGTATGGATTTATGGATTCTGACTATAACTGAACAGTTAATTAGTAACAGTTACTGTATCTATTGTTATGTTATGTTTTCCAATATAGTTAAGTAATTCCAAGTTCTTCTTACTTTGCTTGTATTTTGACTATGGTGTTTGAATAAGCTGTGTTTTGCTTAACGTCGAGTCGTTTGACCAGTCGAATTGCAACCTGAACACAGAACTTTATATTTATCTTTAAAATAAGAAAATGTCAGGGTCTGGGCTATCTTCTTAATATATTTTGAAGGGGTCTGGTCTGGTCGATAACACCAGGAATGCTCTAAAATCTATCCCCCATTGTAATATGTGACCTAGTTTTGTGGAACACCAGATTCCCTATTATCCCCACGTAATGAGAAATAAGGTTGGTAATGTCTCCACAGTCCTGTTGGATCATAGGGCTGCTCTCTCATTAGAGAGAGGGAGAAAGACGATTGGTCGTGGTTTAACCTAAAGTTCATCACTTGCAGAGAGATGTGGCCACAGTGGTGCCAGAATATCTGCTTCAGAAACTGTGCATAAACAGCTGTGAGCACCCTGAGTGTTTTTTTTTATTTTAAATTTGACAAAAGAACCATGAGTGGTTGGAGTCAGGCTCACACAGAACCAAAGGTTTTAGTTTGGCTTTCAGTTAAGGTTTTTGTAGTTGAAGCTGATAGATGCGGATCTCCTTCTGCTACTGCAAAAAGCTTGAGTTGCCTCTCTCTGCTGCTAGACTGTTTCTTTCAGTGTTCCTTTCTCCTGGACTAGGAGGGAGATAGCATGCGAGAAAAATCTGTTTTACTGAATTTACCTTTGTGGGATGCTGTTATATTAGAACAGTTTTTTGAATTGAATCACATGTGGAACACTTGCCTTTAAATAAAATTACACGCTAGGGTCTAGGCTGTCTCCTTGATATATTTTCAGGGGGTTAGCCTGGTCTGTAACATCAGGCAAGGGGGAAAGGTTGTGAAAGTGGTACCTTTGTGATAACCTTAGCCGATGAAGGAACAGAACACACACAGTTGGCATTGTTCTGCATTGCAAACCAACCATCCAGCCAATTGAACTGATCAATTCCATAACTAAAGGATACTGGTCATGTGCGTCTGCAGTAGCTTCTGAAATATTCATTAAAACTCAATCCTACTATTCTTTGAATTAAAAAATCTAAAATCCAAAATTCACAAAGGCAGTGCAATTTACTTGGTGGATCATCACTACAACTCACACTTGTCACTTGAATAGCAGCTAATATCGAGTGTCAAGGAGATGGTAATTTAGACCGTCTTGAATAAATTTCTTACATCTAACTGCTTTCATGTTTTCCTTCTCTTGTATAAAAATCAGGAATGCTGGGTGTGAAATTGCATCACTATTTCAGCCAAGAAGCAGCCAAGATAGGAAAGGTAATGTTTTGCTGAAGTGTCTCTGGACTCAAAACATCAACTTTGCTTTCTTCCCACAGATGCTGCCAGTCCCTATTGGGTTTCTTCAGCAATTTCTGTTTTTGTTTCAGGTCTCCAGCATCCGTCGTTCTTTGTTTTATGTTCAGGCAGGACAGGTACTTTACTGAGATTGGGTAGCTGTAAAGGATACTGCTGGGAAAAGAGTTGAATGGTTTGTTTGCTGTTTATGTTAAGATCTTTCTAAATAATCTTAAATATGTGTATAGTTTTGTTTATACTTTGGTGAAGGAAGCTGGGCTGTTTGGTTGAAAGAACAATTGTGGTGATGTTGAGTGACAGACCACCATGGTAACCAAAACTGCAAACTTATGGTCTACCATAAGTTGAGTTTTTTGAAGAGGTGACCAAGAAGATAGATAAAGGCAGAATGGTAGATGTTGTCTACATGGAATTTAGCGATACCTTCATCAAGGTTCCTCATGGTAGACTAGTTAGTAAGGTTAGATCACATGTGATCCAGGGTTGGCTAGCCAATTGGATACAAAATTGACTTGATGGTAGGAGACAGAAGGTGGTGGTAGAGGGTTGTTGTTCAGACTGGAGGCCCATGACCAGCGATGTGGTGTAAGAATTGGTGCTGTGTCCACTGCTTTTTGTTATTTATACAGAGTCACAGAGATAAACAGCACGGAAACTGATGCTTTGGTCCAACTCGTCCATATCGATCAGATATCCTAAATAAATCTAGTCCCATTTGCCAGCACTTGGCCCATATCCATCTAAACCCTTCCTATTCATTTATCTATGCAGATGCCTTTTAAATGCTGTAATTGTACCAGCCTCCACCACTTCCTCTGGCAGCTCATTCCATACATGCACCACCCTCTGTGTGAAAACGTTGCCCCTTAGGTTCCTTTTAAGTCTTTCCACTATCACCTTAAACCTATGCCCTCTAGTTTTGGACTTGCCCATACTGGGCAAAAAACCTTGTCTATTTACCCTATCCATGCCCCTCATGATTTTATAAACCTCTAATAAGGTCACCCCTCAGTCTCCAATGCTCCAGAGAAAATAGTCCCAGCCTATTCAGCTTCTCCCTATAGCTCAAACCCTCCAACCCTGGCAACATTCTCGTAAACGTTTTCTGAACCCTTTCTATTTTCATAACATCCTTCCTACAGGAGAGTTGACCAGAATTGCATGCCTAACCAATGTTCTATACAGCCACAACATGACCTCCCAGCTCCTTTACTCAATGCACTGACCAATTTAGGCAAGCATACCAAACACCTTCTTCACTATCCTATCTACCTGCGACTCCATTTTCAAGGAACTATGAACCTGCGCTGCAAGGTCTCTTTGTTCAGCAACATTCCCCAGGACCTTACCATTAAATGTATAAGTCCTGTCCTGATTTGCCTTTCCAGCACCTCACATTTATCTAAAGTCCATCTGCGACTCTTCAGCCCATTGGCCCATCTAATCAAGATCCTGTTGTACTCTGAGCTAACCTGCGGTTTGGATGAGAATATAGGAGGCATGGTTAGTAAGTTTGACTATGACATCAAAATTGGTGGTGTACTGCACAGTGAAGAAGGTTACCCAAGAGTACACTGAGATCTTGGCCAATAGGCCAAGGACTGGTAGATGGAGTTTAATTTAAATAAATGTGAGGCATTGCATTTTCGTAAGGCAAATCAGGGCAGGACTTTATACAATTAATAGTAGGGCCCTGGGGAATGTTATTGAACAGAGAGACCTGGGGGTAGAGGTGCATAGTTCCTTGACGGTAGTCAGGGAAGTGAAGAAGGTGTTTGGCATACTTACCTTTATCGGTCAGAGCTTCGAGTAGAGGAGTTTGGATGTCATAATGTGGATGTACAAGACATTGGTGAGGCCACTTTTACAATATTGTGTACAACTGTGGTCACCCCGCCAAAGGAAGGGTGTTATTAAATTGGAAATTGTGCAGAAAATATATTCAAGGTTTTTTTCGGGCTTGGAAGGATTGAGTTATGAGGAGAGGCTGAATAGGCTTGGGACTATTTTCCCTGTTGCATAAGAGGTTGAGGGGTGACCTCATAGAGGTTGATAAAATCATGTGGGGCATAGATAAGGTGAAGAGCCAACTTATAGAAAACCTGATCATCATGGAGGAGTTGAGCCAAACAGTCTGTTTCTGTACTGTATGACTCTATGCCACTAGGAGTAGGCTATTCAGCCCCTCAAACCTGCTCCATCGTTTAAACTAAGGGCAGATCTCTACCTTAGTTGGTGGGAGGAGACTGTGTGGAACATAAATACTGGGGAGATGGTGGTATTGTAGTAATGTCACTGGATTAGTAAACCAGAGATCCTGACCGTAATCTAACTGGGCAAAACCTGTAGGTGGGGATCCATCAAAATCCACCATCCGTTGTTGTGAAACCCCATTGGGTTCACTAACAGCCTTTAGAGAGGGCCATCTGCTAGCCCTTGCCCAGTCTGATGTACATGTGACTCCAGGCCCACAGCAACGGCCTTGACTCAACCACCCTCAGAAATGGCCACTCATTTCGAGGGCAGTTAGGGTGGGCAACGAATGCTGGCCCCATCCAGAGACGCCCCCATCCCAATGTAAATATAAACAATGCACTAGGTGGGCTGAATGGTTTAGGTCTGTGCTGTTGACTTGAGATAAGTCCAGCTCTATGGGAAATCATCATGGAATATTTGGAGCACAGAAGGAGACTATTTAGCCTCTCATTTCCCTACTGGCCCTTCTTGTAACAGCAATCCAGCTGGTTACACTTGCAGTGGCGGAAGGTTGCTTTTCAGACTGGAGACCTGATCACAGGGCAGTGTTCCATAGGGATCAGTGCTGATCCACTTTAATTTGTCATTTTTATAAATGATTTAGATGACAATAAAAAAGGCATGGTTAGTAAGTTTGTGGATGACACCAAAATTGATGGTTTAGTGGACTGTGAAGAAGGTAATCTAAGATTACAAAGAGATCTTGATCAACTGGGTCAATGGGCTGAGGAGTGGCAGATGGAGTTTAATTTAGATAAGTGTGAGATATTGTATTTTAGTAAAACAAACAATGGCAGGATTTATATGATTAAAAATAGGGCCTTGATTAGTGTTGTAGAACAGAGTGTCCTGGGGTTCAGGTGTATAATTCTTTGAAGTTTGTGTCGCATCTAGACAGGGTGATTAAGAAGATTTTCAATAAGCTTGCCTCTGTTGCTCAGTCCTTTGACTATAGGATTTGAGATGTCATATTGAGGTTGTACAGGATGTTGGTGAGGCCTCTTCTGGAATACTCTGTGCAGTTCTAGTTGTCCAGTTATAGGAAGGATATAATTAAGCTAGAGAGGGTGCAGAGAGGACGTTGTTGTAGACATGCTCGCTGAGCCAGTGGGTTTGGTTACAAACGTTTCGTCACCCTGCTAGGTAACATCATCAGTGCGCCTCCAGCTACAAATCTTCTCGAAAACTTTACCAGGATTTTGCTGGGAATGGAGGGTTTGAGTTATAAGGCCTACTGTGATGTTTTTATCCTGTGGGATAATTCTTGGCAGGACCTCTTGGCCCACTTGACACGCTCCCACCCCTCGAGGGTCAAGACTGGTTGCCCGTAGCAACATTGGAATGGTCTGGTGCCATGTGGGTGACTTCACCTGTTTACATATCAGTCGGAACTTGGTGAGAATCTTGGGTGCCAACTGGCCGGATTTGGTGTAGCGGTGCACTTTGACCTCCGGGAACTGGTCCTTGACCAGATTGAGGCAGTAGCCCTGGATGAGCCCAGCGATTCCTTTGCCTCTCTCCAGCGGCGCCACCCTCAACCCTTCGAACACCGCCGTGTGCCCGTTGTCCACAATGTTCGCCGAAACAAGGGCGACCTGCCAACAACAATGGTGTGCATTTGTACAGCACCCGACTCTCAATAAAACGGAAGCAGCTCCTCCCCTCCCAAGGTGCTCAGGTAAGGGGGGAGGCGATGGCCTAGTGTTACTACTGGCTGGTCTGCTAATCCAGAGACCCAGGTAGTGCTCTGGAAGCCTTGAGTTCAAACCCTTTCGTGATGGACGATGGAGTTTGAAATTGAAAAAAATCTGGAATTAAGATTCTAATGATGGGCATGATTGAATTGTTGGACAAAACCATCTAGTTCGCTAATGTTCTTTAGGGAAGGAAATCTGCCATCCTTACCCAATCTGGCCTGCACGTGACTCGATACACCCACCAATGTGATTGGAGCCTTGACTGCCCTCTGGGCATTTAGGGATGGGACAAATGCTGGGCCGAGCTAGCGATACGCTCATTCCCTGAATGATAGGCAAAATCAGCCCAAGGTTTGAGCCCGGGCCGCTAAAGGAGACATCTGGAACGAAACCTTGGTCAAAGATTTTACAGAACGGCTTAAAAGAAGAGGGTGAGAGTCAGAGAGGATACTTCCTTTGAGGGGGAAGGGCGTGGGCATTGCTGGACTAGGCCCAGCGTTTGCCACCTGCCCCCTTGAACGTCACCCGGCATTTTCAGAGGGCACTTAAGAGTAAAACCGCAGGGTCTGGAGTCATGTGGAGGCCAGGTAAGGAGGGGCATTAGAGAACCAGGTGGGTTTTTAACAACAACTGACAATGGTTATCATTGCTACGGTATGATGGATGGGTTGATTGACCACCAATTCTCCTTCCTATGTCCGTCTAATGAGCTGTTCAGTCATCGCTGGTGGACAACAGACTTCTATTAAGAGTCAGGAGCTGTGTAGTTCTTCTTTCATAGAAAGATATAACTTAACATGCCTGAGGAACTATATACAAGCGGCAAGGCAATGGCATAGTGGCATCTGTCCAGAGACTCAGTGTTCTGGGGACCTGGGTTTGACTCCAAGATGGTGAAATTTAAATCTAGGAAAATCTTGAATTAAGAGTCTAATGATGATCATGAATCCATTGTGGATTGTTGGAAAACCTCATTTGGTTCACTAATGTCCTTTAGGGAAGGAAATCTGATGTCGTTACTGGGTCTGGCCTACATGTGACTCCAGGCCCACAGCAATATCGTTGACTTTTAACCACCCTCTGGGATATGCAATCAATGCTGGAGTAGCCAGTGTCAACCTCATCGTGTATGAGTTTAAAAAATAGAATCCCTACAGTGTGGAAGCAGGCCATTCGGCCCAGTAAGTCCAAACCAACCCCTCTGAAGATCCTCCCATCCAGACCCACCCTACCCCTGAAAACCTGCATTTCCATGGCTAATCCATCTAGCCTGCACATCCCTGGACACTAAGGGGCAATTTAGTGTGGCCAATACATCTTTGGACTGTGGGAGGAAACCGGAGCTCCTGGAGGAAACCCATGTAGACATGGGGAGAATGTGCACATTCTACACAGACAGTCACATGAGATGGAATTGAACCCAGGTCCCTGGCACCGTGAGGCAGCAGTGCTAACCACTGAGCCACTGTGCTGCCCCTAAAATGTGGTTGACTCCTGACTGCCCTCTGGGCAATTAGAAATGGACAATAAATGCTGGGCCTAGCCATAGATATCTACATCCAGTGAATGAATTAAAAAGTATAGGTTACATTAACTCTCATGAAGAAATGGCAGGAAGAATTTCCGAAAGGAAGTTCATTAGGAGACCGTCTTGCCACCCAGAAAATGCAGGCCATCACCAAACTGGGCAGATTGGCCACCTTCTAGAACCACTGCCACATCTACAGCTTCCCGATTACCATCATTAACTGGATTGGATTAATTCCTAATTGGGAATACCATGGCCCTGGGAACAGCACCTTGAATTAGTAACCCAACGACAACACCATGCACTGAGGATAATTGAGGAAATTCCAGAGCTTGCCGTGACGCCAATGGTGGGGCCGTGGAAATGAGTGCCAGGGCGGGGGGGAGCCATTGAGAAAGTGGGACGACCCCTTTGAAAGACTGATCCTTGGAATCATGTACGCCAACTCGAGTGGGCCAGATGGGGGTGGGGTGGGGGGATGTGGGGTATTGCCAGCTTAGCGTCTTGGTTTGACCCACGGTAGGGCACCTGGGAATGCGGATGGGGACTGAGGGTGGGTGTAATGGAGTTGAGGGAGGAGGAAATTGAGGTTCGAGGAGGGGCAAGGAAGTTGAGGGAGGAGGAATTGGAGGGGCTAATGGAGTGTGAAGGAGGGGTTTGGAGGATAGGGGAGGAGCCAGTGGTGGATTAAGAAGGGGTTTGGAGATTGGGGTACGGCAATGGAGGGTGGGGGGTGAAGTAGACTGTTTGGGAAGGCAGCTCAGAAGTGGCGGGGGAAGAAGGGTGAGGATGAAAGGTTAGAGGTCGGTCAGAAATGAGTGTCGAAGCATTAGCGAAGGCTTAGTTGGCCAGATAGTGCCTGAGAAATTAGCTAGTAGACCCCACGATGGACTGAGTTTGGAAAGAACTGGTCCTATGGGGTGAACGTGAGCCTGGTCAATTAGTTCGACAGGGGTAGAATTCACACTCACTATTTGCCCTTTCTTTTTAGCCAGGATCACCCTTCGAAATGGATCCCGGATCCAGGCATGGTAACGGACCGGCAGGTAATCGATGCCCCCGTAGACGTCTCCAGAGATGGACATCACTTCCTCAAAATCGGCCTCCTCAGCGAGGCAGAACTCCAGCGTGTGGCCGTCAACTGCCATTTCGGACCCTCGGTAAGACCGTGCTTGGTGTAACCTGTAGAAGGGACAGGACCGCACAGGTCATGTTGATCGAGTTGGGGGAGGGTGGAGTGGTTGGACATTGTCTTTTACCCATGAACCTCAATCTGATGGCAACCCAGGGTAAGTTCAACTTGCGAACCCCAGGGGGCCGTATCACTCTACAGAAAGGTAAGGGGCTCAAACCTAAAGGACCAGCCTGGACAGGGAGTGGGGTTACGGTTGAGAATTTGTGAGGAAACCCCAAGCATCTGGAGTAAGAGGCAGAATTTGAGTTGTAGGCCCGTACTTTGATCTATGAGCAGCCATTTTGAGGGCTTAGGGAGCCCGGGGTATGGGAAGAATTGGAGAAGAGCAGGATACAAGGGCACAGCCTTAGATTGAAGGGACAACCCTTTTACAACTATCCCAACCTATGAGCAGACATTTTGAGGCCCATTGAGGATGGAGATAGGAGCAGAATTGGGCCATTCACCCCATCAAGTAGCTGATATGTTGCTCAACCCCATTCTCTTGCCTTCTCCCTGTAACCTTTGACCCCCCCTTACTAATCAAGAACCTATGTAGCTCTGTCTTAATGACTCTCAATGAATCGGCCTCCACAGCTCTCTGCAACAATGAGTTCCACAGATTCACCACCCGCTGGCTGAAGAAATTCTTCCCTCATCTCAGTTCTAAAGGGTCATCCATTCACTTTGAGGCTGTGTCCTCGGGTCCTAGTCTTCCCAGATTTCTTCCCACACCCGGGGCTCCTCAGGCCTGGAAGCCTGAGGCCTATCACGCATGACCCCCAGCCCTCAGGCACTTCACTGACCGGGGCAGGCAAATCATTGAGGTGCCGCCGAGAGACAAAGGTTGCCCCTTAACCTCAGCCTACAACGGAATCATTTTAATCACGGTTTTACCCTTCAAAGTGAAGATTTACTCACCGCTGACGGCTGATAGACTCCTAAGTGGAGTAGGCCTCGAGCCGCAAAATCTGGGCCTAAAACAGGCATCCAGCCTCCTGATGTAATTGGCCCGTTAGCAACAGCCCCTCCAAGACCCATGGACACAGGAACTAACTCCTTTAAAATAACAGGTTTGGGAAGCAGTCTAAAATTTTAAAAGGGTGAGGGACAAAGGAGGGTTGGCACAATAAAATTACCTGCGCACAGCAAGGACAGGAAATCAAGAGGGAAGTGTGTTCCTCCCCCCCCATTAGCCATGAATGTTGTAATTTGCCAGCGATCTGGAAGGCATTGGGCATTGATTCACTGAATCATCTCCCCAGATTCGAGCCCACCCCCCAATCCTCATTGTACTGTTTTCTCCACAACACTCGCCTCTCGCTTCCTCTCCCCTCTCTCTGTGCTTCTGTCTCCACCTCTCTCCCCCTCAACCTCTCTCTCTCTTCATCTTTCTGTCTCTGTCTGTCTCTCCCTCCCTCTTTCTCTGTCACCCCTCTTTGTCTGTTTTTCTCTCTCTGTCACTCCCTTCCCCTTTTTCGCTTTCTCCTTCTGTCTCTCTCTCTTTCTTTGTCCCTCTGTTTGTCTCTGTCTCTCTGTCTTTTCCCTCTCTCTCCCCCCATTTCTCTTGTATATCTGCCTGTCTCTCTCCCTCTCTTTCTCTTCCTATTTCTGTCTTTCTCTCTCTCTTCCTTTCATTCCCTCCCTCTCTCTCTCTGTCTGTCTCTGTCTCTCTCACACTGTCTCTCTCTCTCTGTTCCTTCCTCTTTCTCCCTCTCTCTGTCCCTCCCTCTCTCTTTCTCTCTGACCCCCCTCTCTCTCTCTCGGCCTTTCTCTCTCTCGCCTCCCTCTGTGTTCTACTCCCTCTCTCTCTCTCTCTGTCTCTTTCCGTCCCTCTCTCTTCCCCCGCCTTTCTCTCACTCCCCCTCTCCCTGTCTTCCTCTCCCTCTCTTTCCCCGCCATCTCATTCTATCTCTCTCCATGTGTGTCTGTCTCTCCCCACCCACCCCTCTCTCTCTCACTCTGCCTCTCCCTCCGTCTCTATCTCTCCCTCCGTCTCTATCTCTTCCTATTTCTGTCCCTCTGTCTCTTGCTCTCACTCCCTCCCCCTCTCTTTGTCTTTCTCTCTGTCCCTCTTTTTGTCTTTCTCTCTCTCTCTTCCTCTCCCCACCTTCTCTCACTCTCTCTCCCCTCCACCCCTTTTTCCCCCTCCCCGCTCTCTCTCTTTCCCTCCCCTCTTCCCCTGTCTCTCTCCCCTCCGCCCCTATGTCTTCCCTTCCCCAACCACACTCTCTTCCCCTCCCCCAACCCCACCTCTCTCTCAATCACCCTCCCCACCTGTCTCTCCCTCCCCTTCCCCCACCCCACTCTCCCCCCTTCCCCCACCCCTCCCTCCCCCCTTCACCCCTCTCTCCCCCTCCCCCTTCCCCTCTGTCTCTCTCCCCCCACTTCCCCTCTCTCTCTCCCTCCCACCCCCTTCCCCTCTGTCTCTCTCCCTCCCTCCCCCTTCCCCTTTCTCTCTCTCTCTCCCTCCCCCTTCCCCTTTCTCTCT